GGGTTGTAAGTCAGTCAAAGTTGTAAACTCAATTGTCCAGGTAGATAAAAAAAAAAGAAAAAAAAAAGGTTAAATTATGTCATCTGGACCAGTTTCTTTAAGTGAAACGTTTCGTCCCCCATCCGGAGGACTTTGTCAGTCTGCGACCTGCCAACCAGATCTGTCCCATAGGTAGCCATCACTGCTGTGTTTCAAACCAATACAGCGGTTTTCTGAACCACTTTGGTCGTGGTTGTCCTCAGGCTGTTTCTGTGAATAGCAAGTTGGCCATCTGGCCTGAAACATTTGATTGTTGTACATGATGACTGATGGTTTAGGATGGGCGTGTTTTGCACGTGTTAAAAGCCTTGAGGTTCCAACAGGAGGTTGGCTTGAAACAGCAGTGAAGGCTGCTGTGACCGATACTGATTCACTGATTACGGTGACATTATTCGCATGAACGCACCTACAAGCACCTTACAGATGATGGACGCTGTCTATCACAGTTTGCTAAGATTCATAACTGGCTGTAACTACCGTGCCCATCACTGCACCCTGTATTTACTGGTTAACTGGTCATTAGTAACGTCACGCTGACTCTCTTACTGGTACATTTTCATCTTTAAATCACTTCTTGGTCTGTTGCCTTCATAGATCTCCTCCTACATGTCACTGCGTGAGTGCAGCTACAGCGTGCGCTCTCAGGACATTATTACCCGCAGTGTTCTGAACTAAGCAAAAAGGCCTTCTCCTACTCTGCTCTCGTTTCCTGGAACACCTTGTAAAAAAATCTGAAGCTCTCGACCTTGACCTAAGTGGCTTCAAACATCTGCTAAGTTCCTGGCAAAAACCGACACAGACATGTTCCTGTTTTGTTTTCTACATCGCTTCATAACCGGTTTTTGTTTCATTTTTAATATCATATTTTTAAATTTTTCCAAGTTCATATGCTTTCTTTTATGATTGTCTCCTGTTGTCATCATGCTTTGCTTAAAACAGGTCTCTCTTGTAAACGAGTCCTCGTGGCTCAATGAGACTAATCTGTTTAAATAAAGATAGAATGAAAAAGGCTACCTTTGGGACAGATCTGGTTGGCAGGCCGTAGACTGAGGAAGTCCTCTGGATTGGGGAAGAAACGTTTCTCACTTAAAGAAACTGGTCCAGATGAAACAATTTAACTTTTTTAAATTGTTTTTGTTAAAATGGTTAAACAAAAACTTAATTTTTGTAATAAAAACAAAACAAAATAATAAAAAGTGCTAATTACATAGTTGTGTGACAAATGGATAACTTGTGGTGCTGTTATAGTGTGATAGCTTGAACAAATTAAAATAGTTTTGATAACATTTACAGTATGAATTACTGTATTGTCTTTTATTTAATGTGGAAACAAAAAAATACAACTTTAACCTGATATTTTGTCTCGTGTAGTAGTATAACACGATAGTCAACTTGTGTTGGTAGGACCCCATGCCATCATTCGACACACCACCCTCTGAGGAGACAACAGTGGCTCATACAGTCCAGCATGTTGCGTAAGTTTGCGTCGTGTCAGCCTAGAGCTAAAGAATATCACGATTATAAACATACCTTCTACTCTTTGGTAAAGCCAACCCATCCTACTAGGACGTCATGAAGACCAACCTAAACAATGTCTTCACTTCTGGGCCGTTTAGCACCCGAGGACACGGAGATGGACACAATTTCCTCAACAAGAAACAAATGCATCTGGATTCAGGGGGGTTTGGTGAGGGTTGTCCTGAATGTACCTCCTCTGCAATTCTGTTTCATTCAATGCAGCTTCAAGTGGTTTGCAAAACACTGTGACTATAATTCCACATTTAAAACTCAAGTTGGGACAGGGTGAGGCACAAGTTTCAATCTACATTTTCTTATCTTGGATCAAATATTTAAACTATATTGAGCAATTATGGGATTTTAAGTGTTGTCCAAAACTTATTAAGGAACCAATTAGCTCAGCGTTGCACTGCTTCAGCTGATGCTGCCACCCCTTCCCTTCACGACAGTGTTTTTTTTTTTTTAAAGATTACATAAGCTTTTAACCGTCAAAGGTCGCATTTCCTAAAAAGAATCTTTGTTTAGGGTGAGAATCTGCTCTAATGCACAACACTGAGCCCCCGCCTGCATCCTGCTGCCATTCAGTTCTCTCATCCTGGCATGAAGTTATTGGGCTTTGACAAACACGCTGAGAATAAGGCGGCTCAAATCGAGCTTTTGTTGCTCTACGCTGTTAACATCCACACACACACACAAAGTGGAATTGAAATAGCCATCAAAGTAAGATTCATGTATTCACTGCACATCTTAAAACTTCACAAAGACAGCCCTCGACTTGTGTGTACTTACATAAGGACGTTAGCGCAAACAGAACGTGTACAACCTCGAGCAACAACGATCCGTGTATTCGGAGTGCGAGCAAAAAGTTGAACTGAATTCCTCAACGCGTTTCCTGTGAGCTGAATGAGCCAGTCCTGTTTTTAATTACTGTAACTGCAGAAAAAAAATAAAAAAATAACAGTTAATTTAAACCAACAATCACATTAGATTATTAACTAACCTGGTTAAGGAACACCTTGTGATTGATGCTGAAAGATGCTCACAGAAAGTGAAAAAAAGTGTAAAGTGTAAATACAGAGAGATTATGTTCGTACAGTCGTCCAAGAGATGGCAGAGTGCACGTTGCTGTTGCTCCTGAGAGCGCGGCCCCTTATTCTTTAGATAGGAAAAGGGGAAAAGGCCATGAGGATAGTGGTAAAACAAAAAAAAGATCTCTTCACATCTTGTCCTTATCAGGACACAATTTAAGACATCAAAAAAACTCTACCTGCAAGCACATTTATAAACACATTACATACGCATTTGGTAACAAAACGGTGAGATTTGTCCATGAAGCACTTCCAGATAGACCATAGTCCTGATAAGATGTCAGTGTCAAGTTGGTACAGCTCTGATAAGCATTCGCAGAAGTTTTCAGGGGGTTGATAGACAGAGCTTTCTTAGTTTACACATAACCCAGGAGAAATTTGATGTCGGCCTGCTTCGAGGCCAAACAGGAGTCTGATTCAAATAAGCCACAGTTGATTTTTTTTCAGGTAGACTGTTATTTTTCATCAGCCTTGAGTTCTGCTGGTACTTTTAATCCAAAATGGCCAGATTTGTGGGCATTCAACTGGTCCATGCTTATTAGCTCCCTCCAATGTCATTCCCAACATAAGTCCCAAAGTCACAAGTGGCCTACGATTCTCAGAAATTGCTTCCATCTTACGGTTTAGCTTGTAAATCAGCTGATTTTGAGTACTCGAAGCACAAACCAAACCTTCACACTGGGTCGGCAGCTTTGACATGGCCGACACTACTGCAGCCATCTTCTTCAATAACCGATTACATAGGTGTCAGCCAATGCCAAAAAGGAGAAACTCTGCAATCATAAATCCAATATCTTCGGTGTCCTGAGACAATATGGAAACGTGCATCAGATCCATGACGTATCCTGCCGTGTGCGTCTCAGTGGGGCATGAGGGCTCTCCAGGACCCTGTCGCTTTGTTGAAAATTTTTTATCAATTGTGTTGAAAGTCCAGCTGACCAGATCCATGACAGCAGTTTACGTTTCGGAAGATGTGTAAATAGGAGCTCCGATACACAAGCAAAAAAGCAGGACGACAGAAGAGGGAAGATAGGCAGCCATCTTGCTGGAGAGTGAGGAAAATGCCGTATGAAAATGTCCCCCTAACAGAAGTACATATTGAACTTTAAACTGCAGAACTTTGCAGCACTGAAACACACATTTTACAAGTTCACTGCAACAAAGGCAGAAAATAATGAAAGCTTTGGACGAACTGAACAATAAAGCCTTTATTTTTGCGTTTCCACGTTCAAGTTTGTCAGTCCCACCCAGTGAAAAAGGTGTCTGACAGAGTGAAGGAGTAAGAGGTAGAGCAAGTGTTCCATTCTTATTGTGATCAGTGTAAAAAAAAAAATATCAGTTTTACACCAAGGGAATGCCCATTCAAGGAGGGCTTACTGATAACGAAAAAAATTAAGAAAAATAACAGCAGCTTCTATTTGGTGTTGCTAGCTTTCCCTTATAATTCACATTCATACATACTCCTAACTTGCTGATAATTGATAAAAAAATAAAAAAAAAACCCCAGAGGGATGAATAGTGGTGGCAATGAAGAGGCTGTCATCACATCATCATCATCAATCTGAACACTCAAAGGGAGGAAACTGCATCAGGACAAAGCTGCAGCGTCTCCAAGGGGCTCTGCATAGTAAAGTCTGACATGGACTGAAAAAAGTCCCCCCCCCCAAACATTTAATCTAATAAAACTAAGAAAAACAAGAGGGGTTGTCTCTGCATATGGCATTGTAAGCCACAGAAATCTGAGTGCTGGAGTTAAACAGTGTAGACCAGTCAGCTGGTCATGCAGGTACTGGTTGTAAATGTGTTGCATTCAAACTAACCCATGTTTCAGCTACACTGCGACAGGTCGAGACAGAGACACAATACATTAAAACATAGGAAATATTTACATCTTCGGCGTATAAATTACTTCCCTCTGTAAGGCATAATGGGCTCTCCTAAACAATCACAAAAAACTTTAAGTGCCTCTTACAAAAAGACTATGCCGACATAAGATTTAGGAAGATGGGCAAAGTTAAAAGAGAGGATAGAACATTTAAATGTTGCTGAAATAAAATCTAAATTCAAACCAGAACAAGTCCAACATAGGAGAAACACAATGAATTAATGAGAACGATGCACAAAATGGCACATAGACAAAGATAAAGCTGTAAGCTTGATTAGGCAACCCCTGAAGATTTCCATGTAGTAACAATCACAATACTGGAACTGACTCCGATACCCAGTAAAAAAAAAAAAAAGAGGAATATCAAGTGGTCACTGCATGGAGGGCAACACCTCTGATCACTGCACTGATGATACGGGATGCTTTACATTCTTGTACTGCGCCATTCAGCGCTCTAGGAATGACTCCTCCAGCCCACAACTTGACCTTTAACTCTTTTTTTTATATATATATGTAGTTTTTCCTCAGTCCTTGAGTTGCCAACAGGCTGGCCTGTGACAACAACAGCCCCCGGCCTCGACCAATCACATCAAGGCAGAAACAGGTCAAACCTCATGCAGTCTTGACAATAAAAAAAAGGCTCTAGTCCCATAAAATTCACACTTGAAGAAATACGGTATCAAAACTCTGTATCATGAGAAAGCATACAAACAATAACATACACGGTAACTGTTGGTTTTGCATATGAAATTCAAATCAACAACGTGTCACAGACAAATAACGGCTGGCTCTGTTTGCTTTGGAGATAAGACGACGATCGGGGGGAGGGGGGCAACAAAAAGACAAAATTTTGGTTCAGTTCATACGTTTCATATGGGATAAATGATTGCACAGGAAGTTTAGAGAAGTGAAAAAAAAAAAAAAAACAACCCTCTCCTGTTGACTGTGCAAGTTCATATTACCACCGCTTTCCAAGTCCAGAGCCGCTGTCAGTCTTTGGGTCATCACCCCGTTGAGTGGGTGCGTGAGAGTTTGTCATTCCAGTGAGTTTTAAAAACGTTAGGGCCATTGGTTTGTTTGCTGAAAGCTCCCACCCACACTGAGGAGGTGGAGCATGGAGGGCGCTCCATCAATCATCCAGGATGTCCTTGACAAAAGCGGCCACGTCGGTCTCTTTAGCGTCATGCAGGGTAAAAAATGGATGTTTCTGCATGGAAACAAGAACAAACTTAAGAAATTTGCTCCAAAGCAACATATATGCATTTAAATCACAGCTGCGCTGGTAGCTACATGTGAAAAACAAATGGCAAAGTCTTGGTGGGTTAGTGGGGTAAGTCTGGCCTCTTGTGGTGAAAAACAGGAAACATAAACTCAGTGAAGATTGCAGCACAGACGCTGCAGTTTGTTGTTTTTGTTTGAGAAATAATCAAATGCAAACAAAACTAACCATTAACTCTGAATAAGCTGGTCTTTCATTTGGCTTCTTTCTTAAGCTGTGAAGAAGGAAAAAAGATTAAGTGAAAAGAGAAACAGCCATTGTCAACAATCAACATATTCTAACTTCATGCCACGCACAAAAGATTATTTAAACATCATTTATATTATTTCACACATTTTCCAAATGTAAATTCAAAGCGAACACTGACCCCTGCAGGGTTCCAGAGACATTTGATGATGCTGTAAGGTAGTGTGAGACTCACCACTGGGAAATGAAGTCCACAAAGTCTGGGGAGAAACCGTCAGCAGGCAGCTGTGGAGACGGTTCGTCCACCACCTGTTTGAGCTGCTGGAACGGGGTGCGCCAGGTGTCGTAGGGGAACTTCAAAATGGCCAGCTCGATCTAGGAAGCAGAAAAAAGGCTGATTTCAAAAGGTTCAAGTATCTTTATTACCCCCAAGGGGCAATTTGTTTCAGTCAGTAGGCACATAAAACATTCATACTAGACAAGACATTAAAATAACAGTACAGAAATCATCATATCATCAAGGTTGTGCTTTCAGGCCCTAAATCACTTCATTAATTTTAAATACCTGGTGAAGAATGAGGATTATAATTCAAAACAGACTAAAAAAAACTAATAAAATAAATGTAAAGTTTGTACATTTGATTCATTTATCACAATTTTGAGCGTTGTGACAACAGTTAAAAAAGATGAAGCATGCTATTTAAAATAATGGACATTTATAAAGAGAAAGCTAAGCTTATTTGGCTGTTAAAGAGTAAAAGAGGAATCAGAATGCAGAACAGAAACTCTGTCAATCTGTAAGCGGTGCTGTAAAATAATCAGGACATACAGAGCAGCTAATAACATGGCATCCACTGGCAGTTATGAAAATTGTCACGAGTCATCATGACTCAGCATTAGTCAAGTCTGACTAAGGCTTAATAGCAGTGTTTCATATACACTCTGACGACAAGGAAGGAGACAGTTTATATTCTAAATTAGGTTGCGATCAGAATTTTTATTTATTTATTGCTATTTTTCCCATAAAGCAAGAAGCTTTATCTGCAGTTGAAAAACAATGTCAGAATTGTCAAACAAGAATTACTGGATTATAGATTAACTTTTCAGAAAAGCGTAAGCTGATTCTACAACATCTGAAACCAACCAGAAGCAGCAAAACAGTTCATGCACATAAAAAAGATGTACTATACAACAGATAAACGTGAACAGTAGGGATAGGGCCGATCCAGTATCGGATCAGATTTTTCCGATCCAACCTGCAGAGATTTCCGATCCATGATGCTGCATGTCTGTCTGATAAAACGTCTCCACATGCGATTCCCTGCCAGCTGCTTCGCAAGTTGGATTCAAACTATGGAATGGATTTCATGAACGGAGACGTGTCTCATGAACCCAGAGTAATAAGACCCGCCTCACATTCAGGAAATCCAGTTCATAGTTTGCAGCCAGCTACAACGTGAGGACTGAGCAGCACTGTGGCTAACGGCTAACCAACTTTTCATCGAAACACGTCCGCTGTGTAAGTATTTTACACTAAACACTGCAAGAGAGCAATGACTGCAGAGCCGCTGAACCGAGGAGGAAGCTCGATCACAACCTATAATACAACAAACTTAATCAAACATAGCACCACATTAAACCGCGGTAAAGTTACTTTTACGTTGGACATTCGAGCTCCATGGCTTCAGCGGTGTGCTCGTCTTGTTCAGTCCGAAGCAGGGAGTCTGATTTAGGTCAGCCGCGCTCAACTTGCTCCGCTCACTGAACACTGAACAGACGCTCACTGAACACTGAACAGACTGAACACGGCTGATCGAAATCAGACTGTCTGCTTCGGACTGAATGAGAAGAGCACACCGCTGAAGCCACGAGAACTCATTTTCAAGAGAGACCTGTTTAGGGAGCACATGGTGGGGGTTAAGGGCCTTGCTCATGGGCCCAGAGTGGGGCGAATGAGGGTGGGGGCAAGTGTGGGTGTTTCACCTACCCCACCCACAATTTTGATGTCGGGGCCGGGGCGTGAACCGGCGATCTTCGGATCACAAGCCCACCTCTCTAACCTCTGCGCCACCACTCCCTCAAAAAAAAAAAAACACTGCAAGAGAGCAATGACTGCAGAGCCGCTGTACCGAGGAGGAAGCTCAATCACAACCTATAATACAACAAACTTAATCAAACATAGCACCACATTAAACCGCGGTAAAGTTACTTTTACGTTGGACATTCGAGCTCCATGGCTTCAGCGGTGTGCTCGTCTTGTTCAGTCCGAAGCAGGGAGTCTGATTTAGGTCAGCCGCGCTCAGCTTGCTCCGCTCACTGAACACTGAACAGACTGAACACGGCTGATCGAAATCAGACGGTCTGCTTCGGACTGAATGAGAAGAGCACACCACTGAAGCCACGGAGCTCGAATGTTTACCGAGAAGTTGCTACACTTCACCGTAATTAATGACCAACCGCTATCAGCTGCAGAAAACAAAGAATTTAGCAGCCAAGATATAGTTTACTCTCCAGGAGATATTTATCAGTACAACAGTAGAAAATCGTAAAAAAAGCATATGAATTGAAAAATACACGAAAATGATATATATATATATATATATATATAAACAAATACACAAAAACAGCTACATTATAAATCAATGTAAAATACTAAAAACAGGAACATGTCTGTGTTGGTTTATGCCATGAACTTAGCAGATGTTTGAAGCTTAATGTTGTGTTAGCAGAAATTAATTGTAACTTTTGAAACTCATCCAACATTAATAAAACTTACCTCAATTTGCCTTTTTGGACATGCATGCATATATTTGTACAAATTGTACTTGAGAGGAGATTATTACAGCCTCATTTAAAATCAGTAATGATGATGATGATATTGGAACGGTATCGGCCGATATCCAGATTTAGGTATCGGGATCGGAAGTAAAAAGAAAAAAAAGTGGATCGGTGCATCCTTAGTGAAAAGTTTAAACGCCTTCATTCATATTTAGATGTAGTAAAACACGTTTTGTGAGTAATTTTCTTGTAAAGTTATTGTTTCAGAAAATGGTTTAAACTTTTTGAGCAATTTTATGCAAGTGAAAGAACAACAAAAACAAGGTCTTTATAACCGTACTCACCATAGTGATGCCAAGACTCCATATGTCTGATTTGACACTGTAGCCAATCTGGTTGAGGTCCGGGTTGATGCGCTCAGGCTGAAAGGCAAGTCATCTTTTATTTAAAACTATAAATGCTCTACAATTTTTCAGCACGTGATTACTACAGCTTTTGTTCTAAATGTCAAAACAGAATATATAGGAGTTGGAGCAATTATATGGTTTTGTAGGACACTGAGTTTTTTTAACCACTCACACATCATGTGATTTCAGGATTTCTCCCTCAGTTTCCACTCACCGCCATGTAGGGCTTACAGCCAGCGTCCATCGTTTTGGCCACAGAGTCCACCAGGTGGCCACTGATGCCAAAGTCACACATTTTCACTTGGCCCTGAGTGTTGATCAGGACGTTGGATGGCTTAACATCTGGACACAGATGATAATGGGAACTGTCAAGAGGTTACAGAATCACTGGCTACCTGGAACTGTACACTGTAGTGATTTAATTGTCTTATTACCTCTGTGTATCACCGACAGTTTGTGGTGCAAATGGTCTAATGCCTTGACAATCTAAGGAACAAATGTAGAGAACAAAAGGAAGGATAGTAATGGAATTAATATAATAATAGTAATGGTAGTAATGGTATACTATTAACTTTCTATAACTCAAAAGATGCACATTTTACATGCACTTGCATCAAAATAGTGACAAGCATATCCTCCGCATCTTACTTTAATATAGTCAAATTTGCTAAATGGGACGTACTGCTACTGTGATCTTGCCCAGGATGTCCTCAGGAATGGTTCTGCCTTTTTCGATAACCTTCTTGTAGAATTTATCCAGAGACGTGTCCATCAGTTCCATACAGATCCAAACATCACCCTTAAAGAAACATTAGAATTATTAAAAAAAGAAAATGGAGGCTTAGCATTCCTTAAAGGGATGTACATTGATGAGTTTTAGACTAAGATCATCTTCAATTCAATTCAGTTTATTTATATAGCGCCAAATCACAACAAAGTTGTCTCAGGACACTTTACAAAACATTCACATACATAAAAGCCAATTAGTAAAGTTCTCTATCCAAGGAGGCCAGCAGACAAGTTGAATCATCATCTTATGATGAGCTTGTTTGGTCCAAAGATGAAAATAATGTTATGTCCAGTCTCATGTGACATCATGAGATGTCACACTCAGTACGTATTGTGAACGACTCTCACACCAAATTTTAGCACATAATCTGTAAAACTGACAGAATAATAAACATATTTGTGTTTTTCAGATGGCTGTTCAAGTAATCTTGAATTAGACTGACCCCAACATTATTTCCTGAAAGTACTACTAAAATATGTTCAGTGGTTCATGAGATTTTTGCTAACATGAGCTGATTCCAAATAGTTAATGGCAAAAGTTTAAAACAAAACACTTATTTTATTAAACCTTTATTTAACCAGGAAAATCCCATTGAGATCACAGATCTCTTTTGCAAGGGAGGCCTGGGCCTGAAGGCAGAATAACATGCATGTTTTTGGTCTGTGGGAGGAAACCGGAGTACCCAGAGAAAACATGCACAGAGAAGAACATGCAAACTTGACACAGAAAGACCCCAGGTCCAACTGGGGATTGAACCCAGGACCTTCTTGCTGTGAGGCAACGGCACAAACCACTGAGCCGTCGTGGTGCCATCCTGCAATCTGTCAGAATATGCGTTAGAGAGCTGTTAGCACACCGAACTTGAGGTCAAGATCTGTAAAACTGGCTGTGTTAAAGCCCCTTTTTCAGTCACTTGGCTGTTGTGGCCATCTTGAATTGATTATTTTCTGAGCATTTCATTAAAATCTGTCCAGTGGTTCATGAGATATTAATATAACCAACACACACAAACTACCTCCTACCTTTTGGCAGCAGCCAATAAAAATCAATGGAATAAGGCCATAGCAGTTAATGAGATTTGTATACTGGGTTTACCTCTCTGAAAAGGGCACCGTAGAAGGTCACAGTGTAGAAACAGTCGACTGTCCTCATGGAAATGTCCAGGTCCATCAGAAGCCTCTTCTGCTCCAGAGTGTTAACTGTAGCACGAATCCGCTGGAGACACAAGTATTGCACACTGGTTTGTTTCAGAACGTTCGGTCAGTAATCTGGATCAACTGATCCAAATGTTTATAAGCTTAGATCATATAATGGATGCACCTGAGTTTATTTTTAAAGCACGATACAAAAATCAGAAAATCAAAGCAACTGGACGCCAGTCTACCTTGACGGCCATGATGACACCACTGGGCACATGTCTCATTTTGTCCACCACCCCATAGGCTCCCCTCCCGAGCTCTTCAATCTGCTCCAAGTCATCAGCTTCCACTACAAAGTTCTGGATAGAAGAAGAGAAAGAAAAAGTTCAATTAAGTCCCGTGCCAATCACAGCGGAAAAATAATCAATTAAACAATGTGCTTCAAAAAAACACGACTTTACCCGATCTCCAATAGTGACACAGGCTTTAGAGTCGAGGTCTCGAGGAGGCCTACAGACAGACATTTAAAAATAAAAAAAAAAGAACCAATAACACGGTATTGTTAAATATAAATGTGTAACTCACAAATACTTCTTGCTTTATTAAAAACCAAAAGACAATTTCTAAAACTGACTTAACTGCCTGCATAAACACTAGTGTTTTAAAACAATTTTCTATAAATAAAATGAAAACACGTTGAACTGTAAGATTTAGATCTGTTGTCATTATCCAAACTTGAAACCGAGCCACAATCGTTCTGCTAATCTGAGTTAGCCATCTTTCAGATGAGGACTTCAGAGTCAGTCAGAGTCAGAGTCAGGGAAACAATTTTTTCAGCAGAATCTCGGCAAGAAAGTTATTATGCATATATTTATAAATGATAAGCTATTGCTGTGATTTCTCAAAACTGCAGTTCAGCTCTTATCTATTTACCGTAATTGCCGGTGTATAAGCCGCTACTATTTTTTAATCACACTTTGTACCCCGCAGTTTATATGCAGGAGCAGCTAATTTATGTATTTTTTTTTCATAATTTTCACAAGTAAAATTGTTATATTTTATTTTGACAGAGTTCCTGCCGTCTCTCGGTAACATCTTGCCACTAACTAACATTTTCCTTTGACAGTGCTGGGTGCTCACGGCACCCCACCCCTCTTGTGGGTAGGGATTTGCGACACAGAGAGAATGCCCTCAGGTATCCACATGTACAACGACTCTTGCGCAGGGTTTCAAATTCCCTTCCATAACTCCACCCACTCTGTCATCATGTGACCAGAAGTCTAACCCGAATGACCACTGAGGTACTCTCGAGGACCATCTCCGAAGATAAACGTGCATTAATTTCTTCAGATCGTTCCCGCATTTTGTGCTTCATGCACAGATCTGTTAATTTGTTTAGCGATAATGGAAAACGCACGGAGAATTTCTTACGGTGCAGCTTTCAAGTTAAAAGCAATCAATCTGGCTGCCGGAGAAGGAAACAAAGCTGCCGACCGTAAGCTTTGCATCAACGTGTCGATGGTCGGGCATTGGAGACGCAAAGCAGTCAAGTCTGGTACACGTTTTAATACAAGATTTAAAATGATTTTTGTGCGACATATTTCTGTCCATAAATATGCGTTTAAATACCAGGATCTCATTTTAAACTTGCATCCGAACACGGAGCGGAGACAACAAACTGCTCCCCTCTCCCCTTCTGTCATGAGAGAAGCGGCGAAGTCGTCAGATTTATCATTAAAGCAGTCAGTCAGCCAAGACAGACACATAGTTAAATAAAAGTTCAAACAAATATTTCTGTGCACGGTAAATATGTGTTTAAATACCAGTATACAGGCACATGAAACACAACGGAGACAATGAACTGCTCATATGAGCTCTGCTGAGTAAAAATCACGTTAAATTTATTTAGAAAGTACATTTTAAAACAGCAGCTGTTACCAAAAGTGTTAAACAATAAAAAAAAAATAATGGTATTAATTTAATGAATATTTACTGTATTTTACCAGTACTATTTGACTTCCGGTCACATGACCTCGATAAGACTTTAGTACGTGCGACTTAAGAGACAGGTGCGTTCTGTAGTCCGAGAATTACGGTATATATCAGAATCTATAGGCGCTAAAATAAAATTGTAACGGGAATTTAGAGACATATCCTGATGCATGCTCAATTTAGAGACCAACATAAAATAAAATATTCTATATTGTTGCATTGAAGTGTTGTTGTTTAGTGGTAGAAATATATACCGGTACTAATAGAAAGCGACAGAAAACATTTTTCCTATAGGGATAATTTGGATGGTGTTCGTTAAAGCCAGGAATGAACAGAGCAAAGAGCCTTACGCTGCAGCTTCGGGTGGTGGAGTAGTAAACACATCCTTGGGCAGCTTCGGCCCTGGGAGCTTCTTCCTCCCTACAAGACAATAAAAAAAAATTCAGCTGTTAGGATGATGATTTGTCCACAATGTTTTGGTGCAAAATGATCAATAAATTTGTAATAAGCGGTTACAACACAACAGTTTAGTTAATTCTACAATCGTTTTTCTGCTTACCCATTCTTAAGACACACACCCCTTTGATTTTTCTTTTCTTTTACACAAAGCCAAGTACAAGGAGATGAGTAGTAGTCAACTATATTAGTGATCTAAGTTGGCCTATGTGAATTGGATGTAGTTGTATTTTCTTGTTAGTTCTCCCTTCAGAGACAGTTTGCTGCTGCTGCAGATGACAAAAAAAAAAAAAACCCTCCAGTGCAGTAAATGGTTTGTTTTTTAACCGGAGCTTTAGGTGTGACCAAAACTAAAGCTGAGAAGGTGGACTAAATGACTGTTGGCTTTGGTATGATGACTCACGTGAAGTAGCTGCAAAGGAATCAAGCTTTCTTATAGCCTCCTTTTATATTTTTTAAGTCAAGCAAAAACGATCATAATCCTACGCTGGTTGTACCTTTGTAGCCTCACATTTAAGATCTGTTGCATTTCTATACATTCTTCGTTACAATACAGTGAGTATTGTACAGTGATTTTGTGCAGCTGTGGGTTGTTTCAGTGTCAGATGAGTGATAGCAGTTCATTCATAAACACTGTTTACCAGCAGCCTCTGGGACTTCCCAAAAGGCGCTCAGAGTATCTGCCAGAATGACACAGCCACTGAGCCAGCAAACAGCAATGCAGGAAAAAACAACTCCTTTTTTGAATACGACACTCGTGTAATGCGCTTGCTACAAAGCCAAGAGGGAAAATATTGAACAGTTTAAAAGAATGCCAGGCTAATAACGCTAAAATTGCATAAATGCAGGAAAGATAGATACCTTTTTTTTTAAACAAGAAAAAGCTCCAACTGTAACTGCCATTGTTACTATGTGGCTGTGTTTGCCATTGTCTGAGTCACACTGTGGAGGAAGTTTGATTGGGCAAACCCATTTTTGCTAGAATAAGCTGGAAGGGAAGTTGACTGTCAGATAGTGAAGCCCACCAATGAAACCTACACACATCCTCGTGTGTTGAAAGACTAAAATAACTTGGTGTGTGCACAGAGTACAGTTGTGGTTGGAAGATATTGAATGCAATTTACTCACACATACCCAGTCAAAGATGGGTTTTGCATTTCCTCTGCGTGGGATAAAGCAGAAGCATTCAAAAGGCTCCTGTCAACCTGGTCATGCAACAAAATTAAGACGGCATGCAAACTTGGCATTTTAGTACGTAAACATTTGACATTGCAAAGCTGCTTTAAGCTCTTAGCCATACTTCCATTTTGCAAGAATAAAACAAAATTAGCAAGTATGTGCACTCATTGTTATAACTTAACTAAAGTCTGTGTTACTGGCATATTGTAAAGTATTAATGGCTTTGAAATACTAGCTCTTCTCAGTTACCAGACACCCAAAGACAGCCAGTCCGACTGGACACATCCGCTCCAAAACACAACAGCTGTCAGGACCCTTTGGGAAATATGATGTCACTTCACTGGGCACACATGTTGTCCTGTCAGGGCAAACAGAGGCCAACCTCACAGCTCTTCTAACTGAGCCTCAAGGGATACAATAGTACAGTGACATCAGCCACAGCTGTAGTCAAAGTTCAACAAAGCTGTGCAGGGAAAAATACACGACAGCAGAAAACCATATTCTAAAAATAAATCAATAAAGGATCTCAGTAAGAACTCTTTCTAGGGAAAGTGTGACATAGAATGGCAGTACCGACGTTGAATTTTTGCCATTGTCAGTAAACAATGAATACAATGAAGCATTACTTTCTCCTCCATAAAGATTTTCAGAGCCACATAAAAAAACAAAGCTCAATGGAAACTACTCGGAATATATACGTAATGTGAACAAGAATTTCTGGATTGTGCATGGAATCGGTTTCAATAGCTCTGAGGCGAGTCACCATCAGGAAGCACCAGCCCTAGACCGTGTCCATATACAGACAGACAATGATGACTCATGCGCAGATAATCTTCCACACCACCCTATCAGTGGTTATGGAGAACCCAATATCCAAACATGCTTCAGCAATCTCAAGGCTCGCTGTGATCAGAGGAGAAAAAAAAATAATAGTAATCTCAAACTTGCTTTATAGTAGCAGCAGATCCTGTGAAGCAGATACAGAAGCAGCCAGAAAACTGTCACCTAAAAGGGGAGACTGCACTCAGTGCTGGAGCTGCATGTCAAAACATGCCATGGTAGGCCAAAGGCTGTGATTGCCCGAGCAGCAGCAAGCAGCCAATCTACACAGCCCTCTGAAAACAGCGTGTACTCCTGACCATGGTAACGCTAGTATGATTGTGTAACAGCACAAGCGGTGAACTTGAAATGTAAATTGACATCATCATAGTCATGCTGTGTATGACGCAGAGAAACAAACTTGATTTTTTCCAATGGATGCTCTTTTATTTGTAGCAGTCTATATAATTACACGTCACAAAGAGACCAAGTGATGTGCTTTTTTCTCCCCGTTTACTTCGCCACCTGTTTTTTTTTTTTTTTTTTAATAAAACGTGGGAAAGGTTTAACTTTTGGAAATAAAAGCGCAATGTGGAAACTTAAAAAAGGTAGCTAAGACTTGTGGATAGAGGCAGAAACAGAACTCAGTGCTGTGATTTGAACAAGTTGGTTGATAATTACAGTCTAGCTAAAGTCTTATTGTTGTGAAAATGCTGTAAGCTAACCCTCGGGGCTAAGACGAGGCGATGCAGAGCGCGTGCTTTAGCTAAACTAACGACGTCAAACAAAACCCCCAAAAGCGAACCATAAATGTGATAAATAAGTTATGCTCAAATGTCAGGTTGATTGGAGACGTTGTGTACTAATAAAAAAGTAGTGCTAGCTTCGCAGCTTTCCACCTGGCAAGGTTACATTTCTTACACTAAGCTAGTTGGACTACTTTCACTCGTACTGCACCTCGGTAAGTACAACGTGCAGACTTGCTTTAAAAGAAGAGGAAAAAAAGACACTTACCACCTCTAGAAAGAGACATTTCCCCTTTGCTTTGATGAGGGGGAAGGGAAACACAAAGACTTTTGCCTTTTTTTACTCCCTCCCTCCCTGCATCTACTCTTACTACCCGCTCAGGATCGCTGGTTTGCAGTGCAAGATCTAAAAGCGATAAAAGAAAAAAAAAAAAACGGCTGGGCGGTTCGTCCTCGTGCAAGCTTAGCGCGCCAGTGACCAGCTCGCGTGCTCAACGATCGATTAGCAAAATAATGCACAACTTTAAAATAAGCCTGAACAGTTCGCGTTAGTTTGCTAACAAAACCTTCACTTGGGTGGCCAAAGTCTGACAGCTGAGGGCTCAACCGCTTCGACGACGTGATGACGTACTTCCTGTCTTGCGGTAAGCCTCGTGGGACGTGTAGTTTCCATTGTACTAGTAGCTACGTTCTCTTTTGACGAAAACTAAATACTTCTAGTATATTTAAACTTTTAAACAAGGCAATTTTTTTTTGTTTTTCTTTATTTTCACTTAATATCACATGGCCATAAATAGGTACATAAAATGCATATGCAAAAAGGAACAAAAACTAAATAATCAAGACCACAAAAGCCAATGAAAGCACAATGTGTCAGTCTACAGTTTCCAGGCAACAAAGAAGCAAAAATAATGGAGTTGCACTTTATTTAACACAATTTGTATCTAACAATTCAAGTGGGTGTAAAGGTGTGTTATAAACTACAAACTTTCATAAACTATATTTGTAGAATGGGAAAAATGCACCAAAGTAATAGCAATTGCATTTGTTTTAAAGCAAAGTCTTTAGCACCTATTCAAATAATATTATTAACCCTTACATAAGTAATACATTTAAGGAAATAAAACTACCACAAAATAACATACTTTACTAAGTAATCAAGTAGTGTTTATTTTATTTTTATTTTTTGGTACGCATGAAATATTGAACATCGTTAGCATAATAATCACTGCTGAGCATTACGTTCAAACCTGGGTTTTTTTGTGTGTTTTTTTTTTTTTTTACAAAATCATCCTTGCTAAATGGTTGGAAGACAATAAAATGCACAAAATCATGACCTTATCACATACTTGACACATAGACATGTGCTGTGATATGAGTGTGCATGCATTATGTGCATGTGATCATGTGGGTGGATAACTGATGGTGAGGTCATGGTAAATTCCTGCTTTTACTTCCTGGCAACTAGAAGGGTGTGGTAGAGAGGTTTGATTACAACGTGCAAGTAGAGGGAGCTGTCGACTAGATATTCAGATGCGCGACGCTGCAGGTCAGCATCCACCAAGAAATCCCCAGCCTCCTCTGTACTTTGGTGGAAGTTGTAGACATGGCGGACGACCACCTTTCCTTGTTGTTTTGCCATCACAATAACAGTTTTCTGGAAACTTACTCCGGCAAAGTCTGGGCTGGAGGTGGCCGGTGTTACAATGATGCGAGGTCGACCTGCTTCTGTGCGGGTGGGCTGCATGGCACCAAGTTCGGTATAAGTCGACCTGGCACTAAGCGGCAGCCAGCGAGGGGAGAACAGGGCATTCCATGTCACTCTCTTACTGGAGTCATGGCCACTGGGACCCAGCTGGGTCTGGAAGCTGAAACTGCGGTCATCACGAGTGGGGTTATTGATGATCCACGGTGAACCCCAGGAGGTGGACAAGTAGTTACGGGGAGTGAATATACTGCAGTTGACATCAAAGTACTTGGCCAGCTGAATAGGTGAGGCAGAATGGAACTGGAAGGCTAGATATAGGAGATCACGGATGGACTCATAATACTTCACCATGAGGACAGACTGCTTTTGAAGACGGAAGAGATGTTGAGGAGGAATCATGCCATATCGAACAGCTCTTAGCGCACTTTCCACAGTTTGGGTAACTGGCTGGTTTTTGTTAATCCAGCCCTCCAGGGCCTCGTAGAGCTCCAGCTCGCTCTGCAGAATGAGGTCAGAGCGCTGAAGCAAGGACAGAAGCAGGTCTTCACCGATGGAGTCCCATTCTCCGCTCTGCAGCACAGAAGACAAATTCCAGGACAGGTACTGCAGACAACTGTCCCGCAGGGTTGCGTCCCCAATTTGCAGTGCATAGCTGTACCAGCTCACCACATGGCCTGCGGGTGAATCACTGGAAAGGTGTTGAGTCATATATTGGGTCAGACCTTGCTGCAAGCCCCACACGTGGTACCTGCTGGCCAGCTTGTGCAGAGGTATGACCTGATCTAGTCGTACTGAGATATCACCACAGTACAAGTACCTGAAAAAAAAATATAAGCATTTTTTAAAAGAAACCCATTTTCTGCTATGACTACATTTTATTCTTCTCATCTGAGTCACTGAATAAAACCCACACTCTCTGATTTTAGACTATGAGCGGCAAAGAGCACGTATAATTTTAGACTACTGTAAATGATGGAACATTGCACTCCTTCAACTAGAAAGTAAAAAGCCAAAATGGTGAGTGGAGAGCTACTGTACAAATCATGATCTGTTGTACACATTATTTCATCGATTCTGCAGCTTCTTGAACTCTGTTTTGTTTTATTTCATAAATCAGCAACATATGGTTACATCCTATAACCTTCCTCACCTGATAAACTTGTCAAAGGCGGCAGCACAATCAGGGGTTTCAGTCAAAACCAGAGCACTATTATTGCGACTGAGCAGCAGTTCCTCAAACACATCACTCTGCAGGCTGAGAACCAGACTGTGGGCTTGAATCACTTTCACCTCATCTGTGTTAATGGTGTGCACTCGCAGACTGACATCACTACTGTTGCCCATAGCCAGAAGGTTCTCCATACGATGCACCAAACTCATGGAGTGATTAAGAACCGTGACACCAATATCCAACGTCTCTTGCTTCAGGGGAGCTGTGAAGAAAAAGCAGAAAAAAATTTGGCAGAAACACAAACATTAAAGTTTGCACAAACATTTTCTTTCTAAATCTGAATAGCAACCCATATTCTGTTCATTTTCAGTAGTTTCTCTGCACTGAGGGACTGCCTGCAACATGAATCATACCTGACACAGTTAAGATCTGCAAAAGCACACTCAAACCCTAAACCACCACTATGTGTCGGGTGAAAAATCCAACTTGCACATCCTTTCCTTCCTCTGCACTCAATTAATTGAAAAAGAGAGCAACAACCAGACTGACTCAGAAAATCCCAGATGCACAGACAAAAAGAAATCCTGAGTTTGCAGCACGGCTGCAGATGGCTCTTTCAATGGTCCCTCTTGAACATAAAGTGGTGCATGCTGGTAAATCCCACATAAAAGACCCAAGCATGACAAGTTGCTGTTTCCATTCTGCTCTGCACCAGTCATCAGCAGCCTCGTTGACCTGCAAACGGGCGTTTAATGAGACACTGGGGGGAGAATGTTTGACTCTCCAGGTTGTCTCATGGTTTTCATTTCTTCACAACAATCAAGAAACCCCACTTCAAAGTCTGCCTTTTCCAATTAGCCAGACAAGACACAGTATGCTGAATTGAGAAGTCACTAAACTCATTTAGGAGGATTCTGTACATCCGCTGACTACAATACACAGTATATCTGTCACATTATGTGAGCAAAAAAACCCCCTTAAAATTACCTTCAAATGAGAGAGTGCCCTCAACACAACAACTTACAAAAAATGCTTCAATGCTTTTCCACTTTAGGCTGCAGAGCTGAAAAGACTCACACAAGCCAAATGACACATGAACTTGCTTGTCTATTTTCTGAACCCAGACAAATAGATGAGGGCAGGAAGAGCTGAATGAATAAATATCCATCTTTTGCCTTGAGGCTTAGCACAAGCCACACATTCAGCTTGGGTGAAGCTGAAACTGAAATAGAACAATATAGATTAAGATACAAATCAATTAAATATTTCAAAGTGAGCAAATCTTTTTAGTGGTAAATCACTGGATCTTACCTCCGCTGACTGTGACAGAGTGGAAGTACATGAAGAAGAGCAGGGTGCCCACACAGACCCAGCCAGGAGTCTCTTGTTCACATGAGCGCACCATGTTTTCGCAATTCTTTTCCCACTGCTTCTCTGTCTTCTTGTCTTTTTGCCTCTCGTCCTCTCTCTGTGCCACTCTTCTCCCAGTCAGCTGTGCACAGCAGGGTGCGCTGCCTCATGTGTTGCCCAGCTCCCTGTCCTGGACTCTTTATGTAGGACGCTGGCCTTTCCCTGGCGCATCTCGCAACCCCGCGGACTTCATCGATTGGTGGAATCGGGCAGGGGCGTTGCTATAGCGACAGCTTTGATTTTGAACGTCTCTCTTTTGGTTGTAACATGGCATTGATCAGTGACACTGGGCCAGCCAAGGACTCAGCTTAATGTTTTTTAGATTAAAAGTCAGTGGGATTTAGTGCTATTAAGAATCAATAATAAACACAGTTTCCTCTTTTAATGGCACTCAAATGCAGCCAGTTGATGGAGACCTTTGGCTATGATGGCTATGTTAAATGCTTCAATTCTTCTTCTAGTTACAGTTGCAATTAAGATTAATGTCAAAAGTAATTGAAGTTTTAATATATGTGGCCAGCTGCACTCATGTCACATTTCACAATCCATTTGCGGGGCAGTCTCTTTTTCTATTTGTATTTCTCAAATGGCTTATTATTTTCACAGATGTGAAGATAATTGAATTAGAGCTGGGTCTGCTCATCAATTTAAAGCACGCTTCGTCAAACCTAAGTGTCAGTCAAGATGTTTTTGACAACTTGCATATATTGATGTTAAAATACATCTATTTATTCACATAAGATGAGCTTTTAAGTGCATTGCACATTATTACAGACATGTGGATCTGCGTATTTTCAGGCGCATGACATCACAAAACCACTGAAGCTTGCAGAGCAAAATGATTACAAGTTGCACCTGAGTTTGAAGATTTAAATAATCTATTGCTTGCAGAGAAGCTCATGTCATCAGTACAGTCCCATTTTGAGCTCTACAGCCACACATCAAAGACGAATCATACATTTCAACATTCCAAACGTTACAACAAAATTATGTTTCAGTGAGAAATAATGACTTTGATTATAATCTCAAGAATGATAAACTCTAAGGCCATCTGTCCCTCTCAGAACAAGCAGCAATACAATAAACGTGTTTAAAATAAATCCACCTGTGAGAAAAATAAGAAGAGGTGTTGTTTTGGAGTGATTTATGTGATTTATCTAACCTACAAAACTCTCAACAACCTAGCTCCATCTTATATTACAGATCTTATTGTTCCATATTTTCCTAACAGAACACTTGGCTCTCAGACTGCAGGTTTACTCGTGGTTCCTAGAGTTTCCAAAAACAGAATGGGAGGCAGAGCTTTCAGTTATCAGGCTCCTCTCTTGTGGAACCAACTTCCAGTTTCTGTCCGTAAGGCTGACACATTGTCCAGTTTTAAAACTGGACTTAAGACTTTTCTTTTTGATAAATCCTATAGTTAGGGTCGGCTTGGGTTTCCTGAGCTGTCCCTTAGTTATGCCGCTATAGGCTTAGACTGCTGGAGGACAAATTGACCACATTTTTTCACTCTGCTACTGTCTTTACTTACTCTGCTCAACCTGTTTTGTATTTGTAATTATTTTTTCTATCCTTAACGTGTTTTTGTCTTTCAGGTACACCTGGATCTACCATTCTGTGTTCGTCTGCCTCTCCTTTCTGTCCTCTCAAACCAGCCGGTCAAAGCAGATAGCCGCTTGTCCTGAGCCTGGTTCTGCTGGAAGTTTCTTCCTTTTAAAAGGTAGTTTTTCCTTTCCACTGTTGCCATTGTGCTTGCTCAGGATGGGAGACTGCAACGAAGCCAAAATTCAACATGTCTGCTGGATTCCTTAGATAGAGAACTTTACTAATTGGCTTTTCTATGTACTGTATGTGAATGTTCCTGTAAAGTGCCCTGAGACAACTTTGTTGTGATTTGGCATTATATAAATAAACTGAATTGAATTTGGGTTGTGTTGATGCCCTGGGGTCTGCCATGCTGCACCGAACATGCAGAAGAAGAAGTGTCCTCTGAGACTCCAGCCTGAGCCACTGCTATGAATAAATGCACATGTTCTCAAAGAGGAGCATTGCTGCTGAGGTGCAACAAGGAATTCTGCTGCAACAAACTGAACCAAACAAGACACATTTGATAGCATTACCTAGTTGTTTAATTTTTAGATGGATGCAGATGCCATTCTTGAGTCAATGTGATGCATGCATACGCCTTTTTATACATTTGAACAGGACATGCCCTTCAGTAAGGTCACTGGCCTTTCTTTGTTTAGTTGACTTTTTATTAATCAAACAGGACTACAATACAAGATGATTGATTGATAAGCTGTTGGGCTTTTAAGAACAACCCTCAGGACAAGATCCATTGAAAGATCGATGCACTGCAGGGGGGCCATTCTACAGTTTAAACATATGAAGTAAGTGCAGGCTGAAAGCCGTAGCTTCAGTTGGAGTTTGTGGATGACCTTACTCTTATGAGGCCTGAGGGAATGCACCCGTTGACCAGATCTCTGAAGCATTTTTGGCTTTTGACTAAACAGGTTAAATGTAATGTTGACTTGCTCACGTTTGCATATTTCACCTATAGGAAAAAAGGAGAAACCCTATTATGGCTTGTATGAAATGTTGGCAGCTCGATGGGGAAGTCAGCTCTGCAAAACAGTGTGGTAGATTCTGGCTAATTGTCTTTAAACTAATCTTTGAATCACAGTTTCTTCTGTTTTTTTCAACCATATTAGTGAAAAAGTGTTTGATGACAGTGAGGCAAAACTTTAAAAAAATGACTTGGTCTGTTTTTGTGTCATAGTCATGAAAGTGCTATTTTAGTTTTAGTCGATTTGTCAGCATGTGTTGAGCATTTCTTTTAGGAAAACTCAAAATCAATGGCAGATATTAACCTTATTTTATACCAAATGGCTTTTTAATGGCACGCCTTCAAACAAATCAATACAAAGATCTATTGTGCTGTGTAATTTGATTTGACTCTTTGTATTTTCAAATGACAAATGCAGCCCATTTATAGGAACTCCCAGCAGGTGGCTCTGCTCTAACACAGTTTGTCTTCTGTTCAGGGACAGATGAGGTGAACTTGATCACATTAAAACAGAGTTTTGAGTTCATGCCACGCAGAAGAGTAGCATCTTTTTGGTAAAACCTTTCAAAGACTGCTCCTTGAAGAAATCAACCCCAACAGCCAGTCGGAAAGTCAACAAACTTCAGGTGACTACGTGGTCCCAGTTCAAAGCTCTAAACTGGGATAAATATCTCACTTGTGAGGTGAGTGGTCCCATTGTTTGGACGTAAGCAGCCTCAACCAAATAGGCTGGGTGCTAATCTCACAGAATATGCAAAGCTGTTCACAGTCAACAGAGAGGTTGGATAAAGGGCTTGGGTAAAGACTGGATGGAAGTCAGTTCAGTTCAGTTTCCGTTTATTTATACAGCACCAAGTCACAAAATATGACATTCACTGAAGGAGCTGCTGCTTTAAGGAGACCAGTGGTTCATTAATTATATTATGGATGAATAACTGAGAAGGAGAGACAGACAGATGGAGTCTTGCTTGTGATCTCAAGCGGAAAACCAAATAAATGAACACTTGAATAGTTTGAACTATTTATTGAGGACTCTGGTGGAGCTCGACGAGTAAATTTCAGTGTTTCTGGAGGAAACGTTTTCTGACCTGAGTTAATTTCTTCGGTGTGGATCTAGTGTTGGGCAAGAGGTGACCTGCTCTACAGTCAGGTAAGAACTGCCTGTTGGTTTGTTTTGGTGCCATATTCATCTTTTGTTTGTTTGTTTATTATACTTTATGTGAGAAAAGATGTTTTAAAATGAACTGGGCTTAAATGAGATTTGTCATTTTTTGAAAAAGTCATCTTGTGACTTTAATCTTAAATTTGTAGAAGCAAGAATTTAACTGACATAAATGTGTGTTTTTTTAAGACCATTTTCTTTTTTTTTTTAAAGTTTTTAGGTTAACAGTAATTAATGGTGGTGAAGCATTGGGTGTGAATATGATCGGTTTTACTATTAAACAATGTCATTTAACATAATTTATTTTAATTAAATGATGTTAAAAAAGGGGCAGCACGGTGGCGCAACTGACAGAGCCGCTGCCCCTCAGCGAGCAGGCTCCCGGCTCAAACCCCGGTCCGGGGGCCCTTCATGGTGGCGCTTGCATGCTCTCTCTGTGCATGCGTGGGTTTTCTCCGGGTGCTCCAGTTTCCTCCCACAGACCAAAAACATGCATGTTAGGCTAATTGGTAACTCTAAATTGTCCCTAGGTGTGAGTGAGCGAGTGAATGGTTGTTTGCCTTGTTTGTCTCCATGTGGCCCCATGATGGACTTGCCACCCGTCCTGGGTGTACCCCGCCCCTCGCACCATGATCACTTGACATGGGCACCGGCGACCCCCGCGACCCAAAATGGAAGAAGTGGGTAAAAGATAATGGATGGATGTTAAATAACTATACATGAGTTTTAATGAGACTATAAATTATTCATTTAGGGGTCTCAAGCTCATTTACAAAAGGGCGCCAAAATTAAAACTTTTTTCTAACTAAGGGCCAATTTCAGAAACTACATTAACTCAAGTTAGATACCCAACATCTTTTCTTGGTTGCAGGTTCCTCAACAAGAGTTTGATTTGTCTCATTTGACATTTTCTGTTGCACTTTTGACATCATAATCAAAGATTACTGAAAAAATCAAAGTGATACAAGTATTTTACATTAAAAATATCATCTCGGGGGCCAGATAAGATGTCAACAAGGGCCACATTTGGCCCCCGGGCCTTGAGTTTGACACATAAAGCCTTTAACAACACTTTTTTTTTTTGCTCTATCTGACTGAATATATTGACAAACTCAGTAAGAACTATTTTAACAAGGTCATTTCTGTTGTGCAATTCATCAACAAGGCTCATACACTTAATAAGTAAATAAATAAATAACACATTTAGCTTTCAAATAAATATAATTTGTCTTTTCTTTTTAATAAGCAATGATGTGAAACATTTACTTATGCACGTCTGAGTAATCAAGACATTTGCTTTGCAGCATTTCAACAAAAGTTTGAAGTGAAGCGATGGGAGAAACAGGCCCTCCAAAAGGATGTGGGTCCAACATCAGCTCCATATATTACAACCTGTGTGACCTGACCACAGTGTGGGGGGTCGTGCTGGAGGCTGTTGCTGCTGCAGGTGTGATGACTTCTTTTGTCTTGTTCATCATTCTCATGGCCTCCCTACCTTTTGTGACGGACAAGAAGAGAAAGGGTATGGTGGCTCTACAGGCCAGCATATTAGTCTTTACGTTGGGACTCTTCGGGCTTACTTTTGTGTTTATTGTGGGTCAGTACTCCACAAGCTGTGCTGCTCGGAGGTTCCTGTTTGGAGTAATGTTTGCAGGCTGCCTCGCCTGTTTGGTAATGCATGGACTGTGGCTTTCCTTGTTGAAGTGGAGCACCCGTGGACCCAGAAGTTGGTTGCTATGGCTGGGCGCTCTGGGTCTGTGGCTCGTTGAGGTGATCATCAATATTGAATGGCTTGTCATCACTGTGGTCAGTAGCCCACCTGGAGGAATCACTGCCCCTGACCTTGCCTGCAACACTGCCAACCAGGACTTTGTGATGGCTCTCATTTATGTGTTAATTTTGATGCTTGCTGTGGTCGTCACAGTTACTCCATCACTAACACACAAGCACAAGCAGTGGCGCCGAGATGGCACTTTCATCCTGGTCACAGGGCTCTTTACCATGGCCATCTGGGTGGCTTGGATTTGCATGTATGTCCGTGGAAACCAAGCAATTGGAAAGCCCAGTTGGGACGATCCTACTCTGGCTGTAGCTGTGGCGTCAAACGCCTGGGTCTTCCTCGTCTTCTATACAATTCCAGAAATTTGTCTGTTAACACAAGCGGACCCAGACCAGGAGCAACCTTTTGATGGGGAGGACGTCTATCCTACAAGGAGCTTGGTGTTTGAAAACACAGAGAAACAGCCAGAGCCAGAACCAGTGCAGGAGAATCTTTACATAGAGAATCGAGTTTTCACCATGGAAGAGCGCCCGGCAGGTACAGTGTCAAACACCATGAGTCGTTGTGCCTCAATGCATTCTTTTTCTGATTAAGTTCAAACAAAAGACATTTACTGCATCCATAAAGAACAATAGACAGACAACAGTAGGAACAGTACACCGACGTTGATAAGAGAACAACTGAATATTTAGTTTCTCTATTTTTGACAAACACAAAAATTAAAATAACTATTCATCTGATCCTTTAGCTCAGGTGAAAATGACACTCAGGATGTTTCAAACTTGTGAAACAGTAAATTATATTGGAATTAAATGTCCTTTAAAGTCTCAAAACTTTGGAATATATTCTACAGTATATTAAGATAGGCATCAAGTTGAGATGGCGAATCACCATGAAAAGTAACAACTACAAGACTATTGAATGTAAATATACATTTGTCTATCACTGTGTGACTCCAAAAAAAAGCATTAAAAAAGTCTTGCATATGGTGTTTGATGTTTAGGGCGCTATTAAAATAATTACATTTACTTTTTTATCTTCTATTATGCAAGCGTACATTTTAGACAAAAGTGAAAATTGTGGTTCATTAGGTATGTTAGCTGATTGAATTGACTTGTGTTTAACAGAATCCACAAAGCCAGAGTCTCCATACGGGGTGTATAATGGTCAGCTGAGGAGTGCCGTGTACCAGCCAACAGAAATTGCCCTTATTACCAGAGGTCTATCAATGGTGAGTGTGATAAAGACCTTTAGCTTCACAAAGCGTCTTCAGCCTCAACACATCTGTAATTTTCTGTGCTTCTTCCCACAGCTGGACTCCAACATAATGATACCTCGAGCCATGATCCCATCTTTGAAACCAGGAAGCCGCAGGAACTCCCTGTCTCGTTCAGTCGAGTCTTTAACATCTCAAGGACTGTCTTAAGTCCCATGTTAGAAAAAAAGTTTGTTAACATTCTTCTAAAATATACCCCACTTTTTATTTCTCTGTAAAATGCTTTCACAGTCAAAGGGTGGAAACATAATTTCCACTGACAGGCCCTTTAATGCTCAAAAGCAAGTTATCGCAAGCAATTCAATTCAATTCGGATTATTTATATAGCTCCAAGTCACAACAGAAGTCATCTCAGGGCACTGAACAGAAACATTCACACACACATATATATATATATATATATATATATATATATATATAT